AGAATGTACATAAGAAATGTGAAGCTACTCATTTCTGATTTATCAGATCAGGTTAATAGATTCTTTTCACCTATTAAAAAAAAAAGAACTGGGGCTGGGAAGGTGAGTCAGTGGTAGAGCGCTTGCCTTGCATGCCTGAGGCCCTGGGTTCGATTCCTCAGCACCACATAAGCAAAAAGAAAAAAGCCAGAAGTGGTGCTGTGGCTCAAGTGGTAGAGTGCTAGCCTTGAGCTGAAGAGCTGAGGGACAGCGCCCAGGCCCAGAGTTCAGGCCCCACGACCGGATCCCCCCAAAAAAGAACTGTTCTCAGGACAGGAAGAAATAAGTATCCAGGTATGATGGGGAGAAGAATTCAAAGATGTACTTTTTTTTTGTCGGTTGTGGGGCTTGAACTCTGGGCCTGGGTGCTGGCCCTGTGCTCTTCAGCTCAAGGAGAGCACTCTTGAGCCACAGCGCCACTTCCGGTTTTCTAGTGATTTATTGGAGATAAGAGTCTCACGGACTTTCTTGCCCCTGCTGGCTTTGAAGCTTGATCCTCAGATCTCAGCCTTCTGAGTAGTTAGGATTACAGGCATGAGTCACCAGCGCCCAGCTTCAAAGATGTACTTTCTTTTTTGGGGGGTCTGGTTGAGGGGCCTGAACTCTGGGCCTGGGCGCTGTCCCTCAGCTCTTCAGCTCAAGGCTATCATTCTACCACTTGAGCCACAGCGCCACTTCCGGCTTTTTTCTTTTTGCTTATGTGGTGCTGGGGAATCGAACCCAGGGCCTCAGGCGTGCAAGGCAAGCGCTCTACCACTGAGCCACCTTCCCAGCCCAAAGATGTACTTTCTTGTCTATTTTGCCTCAGACAAGTCCTGCATATGACACTACACCTGTATACTGCATACAGAGATTTAAGAATGGTGAGAAGGCAAGGATGTCACTGCATGCTGACGTGGGTTTTGCTTCTTAATATCCCTGTCTTTCTGCTTGACATTGTTGAATTCAGATCATTCTCAATCAAGCAGAAACCAGCTCTGTCCATGCTCTGCTTTGTAAGTACAAAATGGCTTGCCATCAGAATTACTCAGAATTCTCACCCTTCACGCCAGAATTTACCTTTAGAATAAAAAGGGCCTCTGGTAATCAAAATTCTAACATCAAAATGTTCTGAAACTAGAAATCAGACATATGTGGATCTTTGTAGGTACTTTCCAAGGTAAGTTATAGCCGCAGTTAAAGATGGGAGAACGAAGCCATAAGATTCAATGTACATAAGTGAAAATGGAACTAGAAGAAATGAGGGGATGGATGAGGTTGGAAGATATGGGATGACATTGATCAAAATGTATTGCGCTCATAACCTGTTATGTTGATTAGAGACTACTTTGTACAAGAACTTAAAGATAAAAAATTAAAGGTTGTAAAATGTTGGTACTTAAGATAGAGATTAGCCAAACTATCAACTTGCATTTCCTTCTGTACTGCCCTTGGAGGTATTGCTGGAGAGCCCTTGAAACAATGTCAGTTGGCACTGTTAGCCTTTCCATCACTCTTCTGAAAACAAGGGCTCTCGTGTGGTGCTCAGGTCATTGTGAATGCTGGAGACAAAAGTGAGCAAAAGGAAGGAACACTTTGCCAACATGGGTATCTGAGAATTTGTAGACTTAGCTAGCTCCCTTCCTGTCTAATTCTCCTTTGCCAACTTTTTCCCTGCAGTGACAATCACCTATATCAATCAAGTAAAGAAGAAAATTAAACCAAAGAGAGACATTCATTGAGCCTGAGAGAAGTTCTTGTCTACCATCCAGATATGCCCACCAACCAGCACTTGAGTGAAGTGCCGGCACCTACAGAAGATTAAGCACACAGTAGTCACTGCAGTAATAGCCAGGATGATGGATTACATAGGAGCATCTGGAGCCAGAGCCTCTTTGGAAACAGCCAGTTGTTGGCTTGCATGGGGTTTGTAATAAATTCACACTACTAGGTTGAAAGCCTCCTAATGACCACATTCCTTTTCCTGGCAATACAGCTATCCCAGCCTGGGCTAATGCTGGAAGGATTAGGCATATTTAGAAACAACATCTTAAAGTTTCTTTTTTTGTAGCAATGAGAATGACTCCACTGAAAATGTCTGTATCTTACAGGCCATTTGTTTCTAGCATTGCATAGGGAGAAAGCTAGATTTGAGGAGTTATATGTGGTTACTAAAGGTAAAAAAGGAAAGTTCATGATGTAAATGAAGCTATTGTTTTAAAAGTCTATGCACTACACAAGGGTATTTCTTTTTTTCTTTTTCTTTTCTTTTCTTTTTTCTTTTTGCCAGTCCTGGGCTTGAACTCTGGGCCTGGGCACTGTCACTCAGCTCTTCAGCTCAAGGCTAGCACTCTACCACTTGAGCCACAGCTCCACTTCTGGCTTTTTCTACTTATGCGGTGCTGAGGAATTGAACCCAGGGTCTCATGCATGCAAGGCAAGCCCTCTACCACTGAGCCACCTTCCCAGCCCCACAATAAGGGTATTTCTGCACAAGGCATCTTCCAGGTTAGAGCTTACTGTAATAGTATGTTCCTGAGAAATTTCTATGTCTGGGAACTAGTGAGGTCAAGAATACAAATGATGCATAGGTGTCTTTCTGTTCATTCAGCCAGTTCTCAAACAGTTGAGATGTGATATTGATAACATCTGTGAGATTTAAAAGTGTGTAAGCTTATAGGTGCCATGTTATGACTCATTTTACTACCTAGATGGTTACAAAATGGGTTGACTTAGGGTACAAATTCATCAAATAGTAGATGAGCAATGGAATGACCATGAGTAATATTACTGGAAACTGAGTGAAAATAAAGCTTTATTTGATACCAAGATTCCCACAGACAGACTGACACTGATAATCCAGGCTGAGGCTATACCTCAATTGTAGAGTACTTGCCTAGCATCATGCATAATGCCCAAGTTCAATCTCTAACACTGCAAAAAATCCCTCACAGACTTCATAGAATTTTGTGAAATTAATTTTTGGTTTTAATCATTTTAAGTGATCAAATTTTAGCCTACATTATGTGCTTATTACAATAACTCACAAAAGGAAATTTAAAATGAATAAAATTTATAGAACCCAATAGTCTTCTGTTTTGTAATTCTTCAAGGTAACAAGGTAACAGGAGGAGCAATAGGTTCAAGAAAATAGTCCCTGGGTTATTGGGAAGGCCTTTTCTTATAGAACTAGTCTCTTGTGGAACATTGAACTATGCTGGGTGAGTTGAAAAGGTAAGAAATTTACTCCCAATATAATTTGGAATTATATATATATATATATAGTTATAAATGTTACTCAGAATATAATTTGGAAATAACCCCAAATATAATTTGTGACTCTGAAAACTCACAAAATAATTTGGAAATGTGAAACATTAATGGAAGGATATGTAAATTCAAGTAGGAATCACATACTGTAGTAGTCAAAGGAAAACTTAATGGAACAGATAAAGTTAATACTGAATCTCAGAAGACAGATGTGACATGACTACCCAGAGAAAAGAGGAAGGGCATTCTAGAAAAAGGCAACATCAATGTCAGCTTAGAGCTGGAAATGAACATACTTGTGTTTGGATACAGTGAAGAAGACTAGCATCTTAGATTATATTAAGAAGAATGTCAGATAAAGTCAAAGGGTCAGTTTGTGTCCATGTTTAGAGAATTTTGGGAAATCCAGGCTGAGGAATTTGGATATTGTCCTCTATGTAACAGGTATCAGCTATAGCTTTGGGCTAGGATAATAACATGATGGTATTGGTACACTACAAATATTAAAATGATATCAATGTCCATAAAATTGAATGTCCGTAGAATTGAATGTCCATAGAGTTGTCCATAAAATAGAATGTCCATAGATTTGAATGGGTAAAATCTGAAGGTATGAGATGCAAATTACTCAGGAAGCTGTCATTCACTCCATCTAGGTGTGTGTATGTATATATGTATATATGTATGTATGTATGTATATATCCATCCACTCAACCAACCAAAAGCATATAGGTATTTGATAAACAGGGTAAGAAATAAGAGTTTAGTAGAATGAAGAAGAACATAGAAGGCATCTCAAAGGAAGTATAAGGGATAATCTCAAACTTTCAAACGTTAGATGAACATAAGAAGTATAGTACAACTGATAGAAACACAGAAGTTGGGAACACAGAACAAAAGTTAGGATGAAAAACTGTTGTGGCTGTATGAAAGAAGAGCAGTTATTAGAGAGCCCTCATAATATAAATAGGACAGTCACCTATTTTAATTCCTGAAATGCAAGTAAGGAAAGAAAATATATACAGAGTAAGGAGTCAAGGTCTTCCATAAGGATTAAGCTAGGCGCAAGCGATTCTAATACAGGATTCCATCAATTGGGAAAGGTTCTGCTGATGGTATTATGGTGTAATTTAGAAAACAGTTTATTACTGTAGTAGTATTACAGTAATTATCATGATAACATTTGTAACAAATTGTCATTCACCCTGTCCTTGAACATACCCAAGGGTTATGAGCTCATACTGTACCTAGGCAGCTCTATGGTATTTCTAGATTTCTGTTAGTAAGTCCTCCACTAAACAGGGCTGAAATCTATATTGTTCCATGTTCTAAGCTTACCACAGTTAAGTATGATCATTTTTCTACTTAAAACCCTTAAATCACAGTTCAAAGCCAGCCTGGGCAGTAAAGTTTCTGAGACTCTTATTGCCAATTAGCCACAAAAAAGCAAGAAGTGGAGCTATGGCTCAAGTGTTAAAGGACCAGCTTGAGCACAAAAGCTCAGGGACAGAGTCCAGGTCCTAAGTTCAAGCCCCAGGACTGGCAGGTATGTGCACATGCACAGACACATACATACACTCAAAACTTTTAAGAGGATTGAAAGCAGTATGCATAGCCAACAATTTTTTTCACACATTTCAGTCACCGGAGTCACGGCCTCTCTGCAAGCAGTTAATTTTTCAAGTCTAAAATCATCTGATTGTGTGACTCACCTTGAGGCCCATGGAGGCCTTGTTTCCCTGGTATTCCATCCACTCCTTTATCTCCAGGAAGCCCACGAGGTCCAGGAAGTCCTGGAAGTCCAGTTCCTGGGGATCCAGGTGGACCCTGTTGGCCCTTTTCACCAGGAAGTCCTGGGAGCCCTTTTTCACCTGGGAATCCATGTCTATCATCTCCCTAAACAACAAAAAATAAGGAAGTCCATCTTAGAGACTTACGTGAAGAGCCCTCTGGCCATAGAGTAGGTAGTCTCTAGGGTTTTGGGTTTATTGAAAATTCTCTGTTACTCTAGTGTGGCAATCAATCTTCTTCTCTACCTTCTCAGAGTTATGTTATTGAGAATGAGTCTTGTTAACCCTGGATGATCTGAGAGTATAAAAATTCTAGATGTGGTTGGAGAAAGGCCAGGAAACAGGTTGAACACCCAAACTCTTGAGGTTGCAGAAAGCAGTTGGATCACTTAAAAATGAAAGCTATTGAGAAAGTGAGACATTTTAAATTGATATGGTCAGTGACAAGGTCTGTCAAGTGAGATACTGTCTATTTTGAGAAAAAGATTCCCACTTTACAGAGTATAAAAGAATGGAGTCAAAGACACAATGCTCTGGACTCTTCTTTTTCTGCCTTGTCTCATGATTGGGCTTCATAACTTCTCCAAGTTAGGTATGAGGGTTGATAGATATAATCACCCAGCACTGATTGATCAACTTACCCGAAGGCCTGGTAGACCTCGTAAGCCAGGCACTCCATCCATTCCAGGTACTCCTGTTATCCCAGGGATCCCCCGGTGGCCAGAATCACCTTTCTCACCTGGCAACCCAGATCCTCTATGGGCTGTTGGTTCACCCTTCTTTCCTTTGGGGCCAGCATGACCCGGAGGCCCAAATAAACCCTGGCAAAGAGACAAAGTGAGAAGTTGCAGACATTACAGAATTCTGACACCTAGTAGAGATATGACCTATATCATGCCCTTAGATATATTTTGTGCTTAGATCTATTTGGTGTTGTGCTGGGGTCTTGATTCTATCATCTAGGATACTGATTGGATAGTTTCTATATTCTTTTCAAACTTTGAAGTCTTTGAGGATCAAAGCCTTATCTCAATTCCTATTTTATGTTCAAGGCTCAGCATGGTGATAGGCAAATGTAAACAGTTTTGTAGAAGGCTGATTAAAGCAGAAAGGGACTTTAGAGACCATCTGGTCAGGCTTGTTACAGACCAAAGAAATCTAAAACTTTATCTCTTTCTTTCTTTTATGTAAAAGGAAATGACTGGTGAGGAGTGAGTAGTATTTGAGTTTCTATTACTCTTTCAGGGCCAAAATTAGGCAAGACTTACTGGAGCCCCTGCTGGGCCACGTGTACCCCCAGAGCCTGGATCTCCTCTGGTTCCTTTAAGGCCTGGAAGGCCAATGAGACCTTGTGGGCCAGGTAGGCCTGGTTCTCCAGGTGGTCCAGCATTGTGGATACCACCATCACAAGAACAGAAACCAGAGTCTCCTGAGGGAAAAGCAGACAGCATCATCAAGAAAAGTGAACATAGATTTCAAGAAAAAGTTGTTATTTTTGTGACTTGAAAAACTTTCCTTGGAAGGCATCAAATAGTATGCAGTGACTTGAATGAACTATCTATCTGAGTATATCTGTGCTAGTCTGGGATGAAGCCCAGTCCTCAGTTAGTCCAATGTGCAGCAAGAGTCAAAACCCACTGAGAATCTGGAATCCAAGCTACATAAAGATTCTTTCCACCAAAATGTCTGTTTTCTTGATATGCTCACATGCAACAAATGCTAAATAGGCCAATGATCAGGATTTCAGTTAAGCAGTTTCGAACAGGTGTCAAGGAGTCACTAGTCCAGAGCTGTTGCAACCACCCATACCATTTCTAATATGTACAATCTGGATATGTCTACGTTTCCCTAAGATCCTGAAAGATCTCTTTTTGCTTTTGGTGATAGCAGGCTTTGAACTTAGGACCTTATGCTTGCCAAGCAGGCACTCTTTGATCTAGAACCTCTATTTACTTTTAGATAACTGATAATACTGGAATGAGGGAATAATCTGTTCTTCAAACAGTAAAGACTGAGCATAAGTGCTCTGGAATTTGAAACAGTTTGGATTTTTAAATTATTAATGCTTAACTGGTAAGGCCTATGCAAATAACAGAACATCCAAAAATCCAAAATATGAAAGACTTGTGCTAAGCATTTTGGATAAGGGATACTCAACCTGTATTTCTCAAGTTTGACACTGGATCCCCTGAGTAAAGTACCTGTGACATATGCTTATAAGGCAGCTTTCTGGGCCCTATGCCAGTACTCATCAGACTCTTAGTAGGCCAGAATCTACATTTGATGACCTTATCTAGGAGATTATCATGTACAATGAGGACTGATAATCATTGTCATAATTCCAGATTTAGACAAAATCCTTTTGACTCCAGGGAAATTCAGATCGGGTAGCATAATTGTCCCTATGTTAGAAAAGAGAAAGGTTTTAAGAAATATATCAGCTCTGTAGTGAGCCAGAGAAGGGCCAAAATTAACGTAAAAAATCCACACTTGCAATTAAATGTCCTTTCCCCTCAAAGAGTCTTTTGTAGGTCTGAATAGTAGAAATCAAGATTTGTAAAATAGCTGAACTAGGTCAAGGCCTAAGACTGAAACAGATCACCGCTCCCATACTTAAGCAGTGATATGACAGGGTAATGAGAAAAGAGAGGAACTTCTCTACTTGAAGCTAGACAGAAGAGTCATGATCTCAGGTTCCTGAAGCTGCCAGACCACCTCTAAATCTCTCTTTGGTCAGTAGTTTCACCTTTCCTCTACACTGTCCTGGACTACAAGCACAATAACTGGACTGATTTGATCCTCATCCTTCAGGAGTAGGAATGTGAAAAAGGGCTCAACACAGTAAGAAAACAGAGAGAAGCATTGCAGCTGAAGGCTAGGCTCATTGATCAGCTCCTTGGCAACAGTGAGGATTCAACTTGTTTTCCTAAAGCTAGTTGGCTTTTTCATTGTTTCAGGTCTTGACCTGTTTAGAGTCCTTTAGGCTGAAGGAGATGATAAATGGTATCCAGCCTTGATCTTGCAAACTAGGAAAAGTAGTGCTGGTTAGCACCCTTGGCTGCTGGCAACAATTTTCTAGAGGTGGAGATAATAGAAAGAATAGGTTTCAAGCCACTTTGTCCTGTGTGACCTCAATTCCAGTTTGTCTTAAAGCCCTAATGGTAGCACCCCTTACAATCCAATAATCATAACTCAGGATCCTAGATTGCTTTGAATTATATTTTTAAGGTTTGTTCAATTTCTATCATAAAACCTTCTCTTAGGAGTTAAAAGGACAGTGAAACTCAAGGGGTCAAACTTGCCTTTTATTCCTTTGAGGCCTGGTTCTCCTTTTTGACCTTGTTCTCCTGGGAGACCAGGGAACCCTGGCTTTGTGTCATGCAGAATTTCAGTCTTAAATGCTGGGCCTGTAGGAATTAGAAATACAAAAATCATGTCAGATGATAGAGCCTGAGGGCTCATCTGACCCGGCACCACATGAGCGATTGAAGATTAACACACTGAGTAGCTACAAAAATACCCAAGATTTGGCCCAAGTCTGTGGCAAGGAACCAGCAGGCCTCTTGGTTGCTCAATTTACTATAGTAACACAAAATGTTTGCTGTAAACCAAGCACTGTACTAGAACACTACACATGATCGAAGTACTTTCAATAATTCAAGAGTTCCATTTTTTTTAACCCCAGAAAGCCTCTTTAGGGCAAAAGAAGAAATAGGTGCATGGAGTAGTGGTCAGTGGATTTAGAGTAAAATGACACATGCACAAAGAAACATGCCTTTTAATAGTTCTCATCAAACTTTCCTTAGTCTTCTCTTAGGATTCTAGAAGTCCAACCTTAGGGATCTAAGGAGAGCATGCCCACCCTGTCTGTCTGTCTGTCTATCTATCTTCTATATCTATCTACCAACCTACCTGTCTATTTCTGGGGATGGAACCCAGGGCATTACACATGCCAAGCAAGTGCTCTACCACTGAATTTTTAAAAACAAGGTTGCAGCCAGCTATGGCTTTTTCTTTCTTGGGATCTCAGCCCAGTCTACTAGAGCCCTGTAAGCCAATGGAAGCTCAAAAGAGCCAATGCCTCTCTAAGAGGTAAAAAGCCAGACTTTTGGAGCAGAGTGGGGTGAAAGAAGGCAAACAGGTACAGAAATTGATTTTCACAGTGGTTCTAGGTTGCTTTCTGCTTGATGAAACACCCAGTTCTAGAATTCATATCAATAGAGGTAAACTTGGCAAGGATGTAGTCTTCATTGCTGTCCCTATGTAGTGATGTGTTCCGGTTTAGCTGTTTTAATGGTGAAATGCTCCATTATGGCTTATTCTTCAGTCTGGGCAATACCTGGATCTCAAGGCCAAAGAAAGAAACAAATAACTTACCAGGTAGACCCATTGCTCCTGGTAAGCCAGGTAAACCAATTTTGCCGGGAAGGCCTGCTGCTCCAATTGTTGTATGTCCTGGGTTTCCTTGGTCTCCCTTGAGGCCTGGAAATCCCTGAGGCCCTGGGGCACCTGGTATACCTGGAAAGATACAAACCATATAAAAATGTTCATCATGTCAAATGGCTCTTCAAGGGTGTTCCAATCCATAACATATGTAATAAATAACTCAAAAATAGCATCTGGGAAACCATTTTTCCATCTCTTACATCAGAGTTAGAATGGCCCTTATGGATCAATTCTAACCTCTTGGGAAACTGAGGTTGAAGAGAGAGAGCAGAGGCAGAGTTTCTTGGTGGTGAACTGATGAGGAAGCATTGAGTCTCTAGCCTCTTCTCCATTTCATTTGGTTTTGTGCTAGGTATAGCTTTACTTCGTCCCAGAGACTACTTTGTAAACATCAGCATCCTTATAGAGGTTCTACTCGGAGGGATTTAGAAGCTGGGAATTTTAGCTTACATGCCTGAGCTTTCCTATTTGGAATAGTTCTGATCCCAGACTCTGGCAGTCTCTTTCTTTGCTTGCCACTATAGAATGACCTTGCTGACGATCCATTGTGTTAAGGGTATAATCCATAGCATCTGGGGGCCACTTGGGGCTTGAGTGCCTAGAGGAGCCTGGGTACGAAATTTCCTCTGGCATTTTGTCAGATCTTATTGGCAAATATCAGTTAGGATGGCACATCTACAAATGAGTAACAGGACTCTAGATGCTCAGTCCAGGCTTCTGGTTGCTATAAACCTCAGTGAGAGACTCTGGGTATTGTAATCATTTAAGTCAAAGGAAAGCCATTCACCTAGGCCCTAGCCCTGCCTACATTAGCTTTGGGCTGTCAGTGGGAGAATCTACCAACTATACTTGATTTTTTTCTTTACATTTATCTAGGTGTATGACTAGATCCAGAGGTCTAGCATGAGATACTAGGAACCAGAGTGGACTATTCTGTGTAGAGGGTGAGTTAGTTTGCATCACCTGTTAAGGCTGGAAGGCCAGGGTTTCCAGAAGGGCCACGCTGGCCCTGGATGCCTTCATCTCCTCTAAGACCTGGGACACCTGGTACACCAGTGTCTCCAGGATAACCTGGCATTACAATAAAAGAAAATTCCGTAAGCACAGCACAGTGGAAGCTTACAAATGCCACAAAATTCCCCAAAAGAGACATAGTAGAAGGAATTATCTTGGGGCTGTTAGTTTCTTTCTTTCCCTTTTCAAGTCACTTGGATGCTAATGGTATCATGTGATAATAATTCTGCCACAGCTAAGTTCTACTAGTGTTTATTTTTGAGACGGACTCTCACCATGAATCTTAGTTTGGTCTTGAAATCAAAATCCTCCTGCTTCTACCTCCTTGGCACTGGGATTAGAAGTATGTACCACCATGCCCAGCTTCTACTCGTATTTAGAAATTGGTCTGCTCAGGATTTCCTTTCTTTTCCTTTTAAGGTCTGGTAAGTACTGGAAAGGTTTTTCTGATACTAAGCTCTTGTAATGCCCCAAATGTACATTATTTGGGTTAGGCTGTTGATGATCACTATGTTATGAACTTAATTTTCATGGAAATAGATCACAGGAAGCCACTATTAACTGTAAATACTAGACAAAGCACAGACCTGAGTGTTGATGATGGGGAACAATGAGTTAGGATGCCCTGGTGGAAGAGGTCTATAATAGAAGCATTCCACTGGTCAATCTAGAAGTACCTTAAGAACTTTGGGAACTTGGGTCTTTGGAAAAGGCAAAGGGAAGACTAGGGCATACACAGTAACTAGGAAAAGGACATATGAGACCAAACTTTCTAAACATCATACTGTTGAAGGCTCTCAAGTACTAGTCATGCTTTTCTATTCCTGAAATTGGCAAGCTCAAGCATATATGGGATCATTTACATGAGACTTTAAGCATCTCACAGTATTGGGCTGGAGTTATCCACCCTTCCATAAACATCAATAGGAAAACCAATTTACTAAGTCCAGGTGCAGAAAGACCTAAATTCTGGTCTTTATGGACCCAATAAAAATGGGAAGCTGGAATCTACTTTTCTGCTCAGGATTAGAACTAGCTTCATTTTTCAAGCACAGGACCCATGAGTGGCTCTTCATAGTGTGAACAATCTAGTGGCTGATGAAGTATTCTTTTAACAATTAAGGGGGATATAGAATTTAACTCCGTGTCCTCTCTTTCTCAATCAAATCAATGAAAAGTCACACCTGAGATCACAGCACCATTGATATCGGTGAAAATGTCTGGACCTGGAAGGCCAATGCTACCCCTTTCACCCTGTAAAGATGAAATACATTGAGTACAAGTATTTCTGCCACCTTATTATCCAATATCTGTGTGACCTCAGAACCAACACCCAGGTAAGTGAAAAGATCCTCCTTTTATGACTCCTCATTTTCAGGATCAGCTAAGTCTGAAGTTAACTCCCACGTCCAATAAGCTAGCTCAGAGGGCTGGCAGTTACAAACTTGTCAAAAACAAGAGATCCCAGTTCTATTTTGCAAAATTATTTCAGGTCATTTTGGTTCTGGGCCTAGGATGTATTTCACAGGTATAAACATACCATAACCCAGAGGTGCTAAGCAGGTGGCAAAATTCAGTGTTTCCTCCCACTTTCAGCAAGCCTGGGAGTCTGCTGTTACTACTACCCTCTAGAGTTGGTTTTTGTCAGTTAGAGGAAACCAGTGTCTTTATTTTCCCAAAGAAGGGACTCATGGGGCTGGGAAGGTGGCTCAGTGGTAGAGCGCTTGCCTTGAATGCCAGAGGCCCTGGGTTCGATTCCTCAGCACCACATAACCAAAGAAGGGACACAGGTATCAGATTTGATACACAGTACAATATCCAGATAGGGTCTTAGAAGCTGTATGCTGCAGGGGCAAGCAATAAGTGGTTGCAATGCCTGCAGAGAATTTTAAAACAATTATACAACTAAGAAGTTGCTACTATCTTCATCATTGTTCAAAGTACGCTGTATGCAATGAAAGAAAGAGTGACATCTAAAACATCAAGATACAAAAAAGCATTAAAATACTTCATTTCTTATGTAGGCATTTATAATTAGTTATAGTAATTCTTCCCTTTTCTGCTTCCCAAGCCTGGTTTTGGACTTCCCAATAATATTACCTTAACTCCTATGAATCCATTAAACCCAGGAAAGCCTGGGGATCCCCTCTCGCCCTATAACAGAAACAATTATCATTAAGTTTGAAGTATAAGTGCACAGGAGGGAACCAGTCTTTATGTTAATCCAGGACAAACAGCACAGGACATTTGCTTGGATTCAGGGAATATGAGGCTTCTTGCTGACTCTGCAAGCTATAAAGTCTTCCAGAAGGCAATATGAAGCTCGTTAGTAAACGTGCCAATTAGGATGTACAAACATTATAAGGTGATGGATGCAGGCTTGCCTTGCTAGTCTTCAGTATCATGCCACAGATATATTGCCACATCATGGCATGGCACTAAATGTGACTCTGGATATCCAACCTTTTGTGTGAAAACAAAAAAGAGAGTGGCTAAGATTATGTGATTATGCTATTAAAGGGAGGGAGACAATTTTCATTATAAGCAATGTCTGCCCATTTGGTTAAGTTGAATAAAGCAAGGGAACCTTTTGGTTAGGATTTTAAGCATCAAGGCTTTACTACTATTAATCAAATACCTGTCTCCCTGGAGGGCCTTGCACTCCTCCGGAGCCCATGGGACCCTGTAAAGAGAATCGCCATACCTCAGAAAGATTAATAGCCCACTCTAGAAAAAGCCGCTAAAGCTATCCAACTGAGTTCAGAATTTAGTTATACTTTATGTCAGTTAAATGTTCCTAGATCTGGCTTAATGACTTATTTCTAATATATAAGCCATCAATCAGAATAGCCACATCAAGCATTTGTAAGGACTAACTAAATAGAAACTTTTTAAAGAGAAGGTAAAATTTTGTAGAAGGGCTGAGTGTTATTACCCTTAGTCTATATTAGTTCCAAGCCAGACGATTTTTAAATAAATTACAGAAGAGCCTCTTCTCTTCTACCTCAGATATATACATGTTTTCAAGATAAAGAAGAGAGAGAAATAGAGAAAGAAATGGAGTAATGGATGAATATCATTAAAAGACTCATAACAAACTTTAAAGCATAAGCTGAGAACAACTTTCTAAAATATTATTACTTTTTTTTTTTTAGTCAGCTACTTAGAGACCAAGGCCTAGGTGCTGAAAGCCAAGACTCAGAGAGGCTGAGATTATTGGAAACTGCTTACTCCAGACATCACTCTGTTCTAGAAATTCCCAGGCTTGTTTCTGGCCTATAAAGATTGTACTTGACCCTCTTTTTTGCCATTCCTGTGCTGCTACCCTGCCAATATTCCCTTGGAATAAAACGAAATAAAAGTAAAACAACATCATTCTTTAGCCCAGAAGGTAATGATACCGGAGAATAAGGAGGCACTAGAGTAGGGGGAAACACCATTCCTTATTCACAGAAGTCAAGAGAATAGGAAGAAATAGAGAGGAGGAGCTTGCTCAGAGGGTTGTGAAGACAAATAAGAGAAGCTTAGGTAGTTACCTAATTATATAATATAAAAGACCAAACAGTAAAGAAAATGGACCAGGTGACTTGACAGATCCATGTAAACAATATCCCAGGTTCATACCCTTAGTCCTGGCAGACCAAGGATTCCCTTTTCTCCCTTTTCTCCAATAGATTCCAAGTCCTGAAGGAAAAATAGGAGACAACAAGTTATTCATTTTCTCTTTGGTTTCATGGCTCCATTCAAGTCAATAAGGTAATTTCGAACCAGTTCCATTGACCCATACATTAGGGAGGCTCATTATGCTGAGTCTCTTGTCAAGGCCTAAAAAACAGATACTGTTCAAAAGGAAATGTACTCATTACCTGACTCATGTAACTGTACATCACCTTTACAATAAAATAAAAAAAATAAAAACCTTAAGAAAGAACTAAATAGAGCCTAAATACAATTTAGACAACATTCCTTTTTGGTTCTATTATGTAATAGCATTATGCATTAACAGCACAGTAATAATAAAATATCTAACCCCTCAGTCATTGATTTTACAGATTAGAAGAGTAATATCCAGAAGGGTTAAGAATCAATAAGAAAGGTAGGGCCTTTTTCATGAGAACAGGCTTCCTTCTACCATCTAGGAACTTGATATTTTGACTAACAAATGGACAATTGTAAAAATCTTTGGGGTTTATACTAGAGGGAATAGTTCCCCCCTATGGAGATATAATGACTGCAACATCCTTGTCTAGGGACAAGGAGGAAATCCAAGACACAGAGTGTGTGAGAGCTTCCTCTATGGGTCTAAGACAAACTGCTGGTCCTCTTATGACACAGAAGAGTTCATTGTCCAAATGAATAAAGTCTTTCGTGGAAAATTTAATTGAGGTCATTTTGTTATTGCTGTTTAAAAGTTTACATTTTGGAGCATAATTCTTATATCATTGATATTTAATTTTTAAGTGAGTAAATAAGCTATATTTGAGAATAAATTCATATTTTATAAGCTAAGCATTCCTTTAAAATATATTTTTATTGTTATTGTAAAGGTGATGTACAGAGGGGTTACAGTTACCTGTCAGGTAATGAGTACATTTCTTTTTAAGCAGTGGCACCCCTTCCCTTGCTCTCTTCCAGTTTTTCTCTCTTGAAGAGCATAATTGTTGGTGAAAAAAAGTTGTTTAGGCATATTGTGAGAGTAAAGAAGGCTGTGACGCCTTCTCAAATGTGAGCTTTGGGAAAGACAATAGTTGTGTCATGAGGGTACTATTCTACTCCTATTTGTAGACTTTTCACCTCTTTTATATCCAGTGCATTCCCATGGGTACTGAAAACTGGCTGACCACCCCATGGACATTGTCCAAGGTTTTGCTTTTTTTTTTTTTTTTTAAAGTGAGTTGTTCTGCTGCTCTTTCATAGTAGGGAGGATATGTGTCTGTGTAGGGTCCAATTCAAAACAGGCATTGGTTCATATTTGTCTTTTTTCTTTTTGACTTTTAAACTTGCGTGCCCAAAAAGCTTAGCCTTTATACTTCATAGAATATCTAATTTGAATGCAAACTTATTGTAAATCTTAGCTTTTTCTGCATTTCAAATTGGAAACCACAGCATGCTGCCACCTGTTTGAATGTAATGATCTGGGAGATTAAACATTCCAAGCCGTGTTTTCTGATGTGCCCATGAAGCTATGGTGGCTTGTGGTATCTGAAATTCATAAAGCAGTAAGATGGGCTGTATGTGCATATACGTTTTATAAGTAGATCTCTATTTTCTTCTGTCTCCTTCCAAGGCACATTACAGCTGCCTGAATACATACAAGGTAGTGCAGTAAATCTTTCTGAAATGATTGAAGACCCAATGAATTGAACTGTAACAAAAGGTGAAGGAAAGGTGGTCTAGGAATGTTTCCTGATGCCCATCTATCCTGCTTATGGGTATAAATAAAAGGAGGTCTTGTACTCCCTTCAGAAAGCAGAGAAAGGCTCTAGATACTTGCTTTCTCAGTGAGTGGATTGGAGAACCTCTGCTACAGGGTGAAGAAAAAGAAATACATGAAAAATGTAAGAAAAAATAAAAGAAATGTGTGTGTGTGTGTGTGTGTGTGTGTGTGTGTGTGGCTTAGAGCCAATAAAAGATAAATGGCTTGGCAAGACACTGTGCTGTAGGCTCAGCCTGTCTCCCACTGCTGGGAGGCTCTGTAGGGAACCTGCTGAACAAGCTGTTCTAGCAAGATGTCCTGGGACCTGGCCCATCACCCTTGGCTCTTGGCATGAACCATCCTACAGTGACTGCTCTCATCCTCCTCTTCATTGTGGCCTGGAAAACCTCTTTAGGGCATTAGCTTTGTTCTTATTTTGGGCTTGTTTTCCTGGGATCTGGGTTCCTGCTGGTTTTGGTTCTAGGGAGACTCAATAGAAGAATTCCACCTACACAGTAGTTACCTCAGCGCCACTTAATAGGACCCAAGGATTTGCCAGTTTTTTTTCTCAACTCCCTGCCCCTCTCTCATTTTGCTTTCTTCTCTGTTTCCTGGTTCCTTGGACAGAAGGCACAGGGTATAGGATTTCTTCTGACAACCTGGATGGGAAGATTTGTAGCCTACAAATACAAGTATGCTGCTGGGGACAATGAGCTGCAATTATAAATTTAAGATTGAGCCAGAAAATAAGGCATATTTGATCACCACAGAGAAGGCAACAGGCAAAAAAGTAAGGCATAAATTGGTCAGATTGGGTGCTTTATCTCCTACAAAGACCTGGGCTCAGACAGGTAGGAAAAAAATGGTTAAAAGGAGCATTTTGGATTTCTCAGAGAATTCCAATCTCAGTGCGTAGGTAATTGAAAGCTGATGTGAGAGCTTTGAGTTTGAGAAGTGTGTTTCCTCTGGAAACTCACAATACCTCAAATATGTTACCACCTTTCCCCTCATAGCTTTTCTTCCAGGCACATAAGGTACCTATTAATGTCCACATTAAGTAGATAGTGATATTAGCAGTGAAGGAATTATATGATTTGGCCAGTATCACATTGAATCTGTGCCACAGTAGACTGAGAACTTCTGGTTTGTTGGTTTTGCCCTATGAAAATATACTGTTCTATGTAAAAGGAGGCAGTTTCCAGCTTTGATATCTTTACAATTGGGGTTTCCACACCTTGAAACACTGAAAATACTAAGCTTGAGATGATATTGCAGTTTATCACTGTGTGTTGTTGTCAATCGGTCTTTTTAACTTTTCCAGGAGGAAGGGGAACTGATTGAAGTTATGACAGAGGAAATCCTCTGAAGTCAAACTGAAGAAAAGGAGAGGGAGGAAGTGTGAGCCAATGAAGCACACAGTACCAGAGGAGATCATAAAATCCTTTCATTGAGATTTAGAGAGTAAAACACCATTGCCTAGTGACTAGAACAATTGGGCTGCAGGGGGCAGTATGGTATGGGAAAAAAAGCTTAGAACTAGAATTCAACAAAGCTGTCAGTCTCAGCTCAGTGAATTGCTAGCTATATGACTTTGGACAAGTCTTTTCATTTTGGGGGATTGTGATTTCTTTGCTGGGACAAGCTTGGGCTCAATTTGCTTACTTCATATGGAAAATGAAAGGTGTCTAGGATCTATGTAAACCACTCTAACAAAAAAGGGTACAAACTGTATTTTTAAAGCCATTTGCAAAATGCAGTCCAAAAGAAACAATGTGGTCCTACTGTTCGTTTGACTTTTCTAGTAACCACATTAAGAACTGAAATAGACATTAATAATACATTTTATTTACCCAATGTATCTTCAGTATTGTCATTTTTCTATGGAAATAAAAACTGTTCTTGAGATACTTCAGATTATTTTTCCATAGTAAGTTTTTCAGATACAGAATGTGTATGTTATACTTATAACACATCTCATTTTAGATCAGTGAAATTTCAAGAGCTCAGTAGCTATCTGTAGTAATTTTTATTAGACAGGATGCCTTTATCTTTAGTGAAAAAAATTCACATACTTGTGATTTGGGCCTCAGAGGATTATATATGACCAGTGTCATATTATGATCTGACAAGAGAGGTTTAGTAATTTGGTAAAATTCCAGAGCTAGAGATGAGGTCTAGGTGTTCTATCTCCAGCACCAGGCTGTTCTTCCTTTCTGATTCACTAGCTGCACAGTTGATTAAAATCAAGGACACCGAACAAATAATTCTCTATGCCCCTTTGTTTCTATGGAGTAACAAGAATCCTCATAGAAACAACCTAGGTCACTGGTTCCTCTGGCTCTGCTTATTGAGAGACCGCAAGTGTTTGAAAGTACTATAGAGAAGGACTGGAGTCATTTATCCTTTTGCACAAGCAAGCAGGGGAAGAGCTTAGAGTCTTTGATTCATCCACTTTCCCTCTGATCCCTACCCTGGTTCCTAAAAAATCTTGTCAGCTTTTTTTTCAAAACAGATATTCTGGGGGCTGGGAAGTTGGCTCAGTGGTAACGTGCTTGCTTCGCATGCATGAGGCCCTGGGTTCGACTCCTCAGCACCACATAAGCAGAAAAAAGCCAGAAGTGGCTGTGACTCAAGTGGTAGGGCATTAGCTTGAGCTGAAGAGCTGAGGGACAGTGCCCAGGCCCAGAGTTCAGGCCCCATGACCAACAAAACAAAACAAAAAAGCAAAAACAAAAACAAAAAAAAAAAAACAAAAACAGATATTCTGGTGTAGGACCCATCAACCAAATGCAATGTATTGTGCTTGTTTTTATTCTCATTCAAGACAACTAGAAATGCACACACATCCTCATAAATATATCTATAAATTAGATACATATATAGAACAGTCTTAAATTTGATTTCTGCATTAACCAATTCAAAGTAATTACTAATGTAAGTGCACTATGTTTTTAAATTTTTAAGTGTTTGAGAAATACTGATTTATGATAAAATGGTATGCCAATCATTTACTTCAGCTTAGCTATGCATTGCTAGATTGTTGCGGTTATATTGGGGAATGGTTATATTGGGTTATATTGGGGAATCATTATGCTATTCTCTGTTTTTGTATGTGTTTAAAATGCTCAATAATAAAAAATATAACATACTTTTTGAATCCATCCTCTCCTTTCTATTTCCATTGCTATTATCCCAGTCTAAGACACCACTATCCTCATTTTCCTGGAAGACTACAATGGCCTGTGTTTTCTGCTCTACTTCCTCCTACTTCTCCCCCTCAGCCAGAATAATGCTAAAAATACAACTTAATGTCTTTGAACTTAGGCCCCATCACATAAAATAAATCCATATTTGACCTATGAAGATAGCCAAGATTTGGCTCATGCCTTTCTGCCTGTTTCTTGGCCTTGCTCACTCTTGTCCTGTCCACTTAATTTCTTTCTGTTCCTTTAAAGGACTGAGTGTTTTCCAAACTCAAGGTGTTGGCATTTGTGGTTCCCTTGGCACCAAACTCTCTTTCTAGTCCTTTACATGACTTGCTTCCTCTAATAAGCTTGTCTTAGCTCATAAGAGAGGCCCTTCTTGAGCATGCAGTCCCAAGTGGCCTACTAGTTCTTCCCATTTATAAACCATTGCTTTACCCTTCTATCATTTATATATTACCATTATATAAACTTAATTTTGTTTTCTTTGTCTTGCTAGAGATTGAACCCAGGACCCTTGTGCATACTAACTAAGCACTTTACAATGGAGCTACACACCCTGACCTAAACTTACCAATTTATCCCTTTACTTTTTTGTTTTCTATATCCTCCCTATCTCCCCTATTAGAATGTAATCTCAAAGACAATGACTTCTCATCTAGTTACTGTTAGTCCAGCAGAAAACCTAGCATACAGATGTCCTCCAAAAATATTTGTTGACAGAAAGATTGCAAGCTAGAAAGGCAGACAGGAAACTGAAGACATGATTACTAAGAATAGCTACCATTTACTAAACACTTGGTAAGTGCCAGGTGTGTGAAGCCCTTTTCATGTCCATTATGCCATTTACCTCTCAGGTATACCCTATCATTGTCTCATTTTTTGTAGGCAATATACAAAAGTTGAAAAAATTAAGCAACTTAAAAATGACAAGAAACCAATGGAACACTAAGTCAAGCATAAGTCTGTTCTAAATCTAAAGCTTGAGCTGATGACATCTAAGATTGCCTCCTTGAGAGTCAAGCTAAAGTCCTCATGAGTTCAAGAAGCAAGAACACTCCTTCGATTTCATCTCACAGTGAAGACAGTGGCATTTCTGATAATAACCATGGGAAGAGATCACCCTTTTATCCACCTATTGCCACAGCTTTTGGCTACTCAGACTCATGAATATATTTTGACCAAGTTGAAAGACTTACCGGGAAGCCAGGGTAGCCTGGGAAACCTGGAAGCCCTGGTACACCCTGGAAAATTAAACAAAGGCCACTGAGTAGCAGTAGGAAATAGGGAACACAAAGGAAGATGGCTCTCTACATACTTGGTTCTGAGGAGTGGGGAACCAACCAAGATTGGAGCACTAAATAGTGGTGTAGACTCTCATATTCTTCTACTGGCAGTTGTACTAAGATGTCCTAATTTAGGGGCCTGTGTGGGAACAATTCTGTGTGGGAACAAGCAACATTTTTCACTAGTTAAAATATAATCTCAAATGCATAGGCTAATTGGGGGGTAGAAAGGATGATTATCTTTTTATTCCATGTAGAAACTCTTTAGTGTTATTTCCTATAGAAAATACACGCTGCAGAGAAGTCAGTGGCTTGGGGAAAAGAATAAAAATTACAATTTGAATAGGGACACATAAAATTCTAAAATGTCTTTCCCTGATATGCTAATCTATCTATCTATCTATCTATCTATCTATCTATCTATCTATCTATCTATCTATCTATCTATCTATCTATCTATTGATCACTCTCTCTCTCTCTCTCTGTCTCTCTCTCTCTCTCTCTATCATCTATCTATCTATATGTGTGTGTGCCTTGGAAGAACTTTTTAAGCATTGGGAATGATTGGGGAGATGTACAATCTCACATGCTCCCAGACTGTTCCCAAATCAATGATTAATTTTCCTGGAAATCTAAAAGGGCTTGGAGCTCTTACTTGCACAAAGAAAATATAAAGGAGTGAGATTAAACACATTTCACTGCCTAGGACCCTTAGCCAGGAGAATAAAATCACAAAAGTCAGAAGAACCTCAGGAAGGAAGGAAATGCAAGCTATGGAAAGATGTGTACACCTCGTAACAGAGTACACTGAAACAAAACCCTGTGTACAATACACACTCATAAAGATAGATTAAAAAGTATCTCAGACAAATATAAAACTTAAGACATGCTAGTTGAGGTCAGGTGAATTAACCTATCTACTGCCACTAGGTCATTTGGCCACAGTATATATTATACTTAGGGTCAAGTCTTTCTTGGTGTATACTGTGTGTGTGTGTGTGTGTGTGTGTGTGTGTGTGTGTGTGTGTGTAACTAAACATCTAATCCTATAGGTCAAATTTTGAAGGCTTAACATTTTTTGACAAGACAACTGAAAAGGAACAATTTATATTCCACATATTTTTTTTTATCACGATGCTTTGGAGACAATTTAGGCATTGAGAGATTTAGAAGTTAGAAGGAAAAAAACAAACACCTGTTTAATGCTTGTTTTAAGTTATTTGGCATATCAAAAATTTAGTATACAAGATTGAAACAGAAAATAGCACTTATACAAGTGCTCGGAAACACAGGCATACTCACACCTACACACCAGAAAACAGATTCAGGCATTTTAGGAAGCTTTTCATGAGGGACAAAATAAAGACAACTTTTACCATCATTTCCAAACAAAAATCCATTATCCAAAACTTTTTATTCTTTCAGTTTAGTCAAATTATTAGAGATGAATTGCAGTATTAATATAAAGATTATTTTTTCCTATTTTAAATGTTTACTACCTTGGATCCTTTTTTCCCTTTGGGGAACCCCATGAATTCTAGCTCCCCTGTAGATGGTGGTGGTCCTGCAGGTCCAGGGAGACCAACATCCCCCTGAAAAATCAAAGAGAACATTAAGAAAAAGATAAACTATGTAATACACCATTTTCCAGAGGATAGGTTTGTCCTCTGAAAAACAACTTACCAAATCAAATAAGTTCAGAAATTTTCATGTACTATGGCCCTTTCACTCTTAGGAAAAGAATGAAACTCTCATTGCCAAGGAATTGAGGAAAATTCTCAGCCTGACCAAATGCATTTTGTACTATCACTTCAGAAGAAAGACACAAGATGGATAAAGGGAAATCAATCATAGGTTCATGGTTACCATAGTCATGTACAAAAGGATGTTTATAAGATTGAAGCAAAATTTGAAAAGGGTGAATGGCTACCTCTTAGCAACAGTGACCAGCCTCTAGTTTGTCCTAGAACACAAGCAGAATGAATCAGAGACGTGTGTGTTGGGACATTTGAAGCTAGAGTTGCTCCTTCACATGACAGCACAATCACTGGATGTATACATAAAGCTCCTATCTTTACTGGAGGCTGGAAATTGCTCTAGTCTGTACATAGGGAAATGAGGAAAGGAGAAAAGTATAACAGAATGTAGATGAGGACAGAGACTGAAGAGAGTGACTAGAAAAACAGAGAGGAGAGGAAGAGGAACATGAAGAGGAAGAAAGGGAGATAGAAGTAAAGAAACAGAGAAAAGAGAAGGTGACCAAATATATAAAACAGTTGGGAACTAACAAGGTGGAAGAAAGAGAAGGAATACATGCAAAAGACTATGTTGTAAGACCCATACACTTTACAGATAGGAAACAGAGATGACAGTATTTTGAGAGGAAAAGAACCATAAAGGTTATTGTGTAGCATATACAAGTAGCCCTGAAGACGCCCCACAGGGCAGCAACATGGGATGGGGAACATCTATTCCCTAAGTTGAAGAAACCAAATTCCATTATACAAAACAAGCATGTGTGTAAATAGATACATTTTTTGGAACATGTAAATGAAGATCATATTTTGTAAGACTTATTTACCTTGACTCCTTTTTCTCCTTGAAAACCTAACCCCATATTTCCCTGGGGCACAAAAATGCAGGAAAGAAAAAGAAAATCAATTACTACTAAGCTCTGGGACCTTAAATTGGAAAGCAGTATTTTTTTTTTGTCAGTTGTGGGGCTTGAACTCTGGGCCTGGGCACTGTCCCTGAGCAGTTCAGCTCAAGACTAGTGCTCTACCAATTGAGCAACACAGTGCCACTTGTGGCTTTCTGGTGGTTAATTGATGATAAGAGTCTCACACACTTTCCTGCCCAGGCTGGCTTTGAACTGTGATCCTCAAATCTCAGCCTCCTGAGTAGCTAGGATTACAGGTGTGAGCCACCAGCACCTAGCTGAATGCAATATTCTTTTTTAAAACATGAAGTATATTCAACCAAACCAGTATCTTTGTGGAGAAACCAAAGTACTTAGTGGCAGAAGACAAATTGCCCCCAAACATAGTATACTTACATCAGGACCAGGAAGGCCAGGTGGGCCTGGAGGACCCTAGATTTAAAAATAGAAAGAAAAGAGTTAATATTTGTCACTTTCAGCTAAGAAGAACTTTGGTATGCTGGGAATCAGTGGGGACATGCCTCTCTTCTTGCCTTGTAAAACTTGGCTTTGTTATAGGAGATTGTTGCTCCTTCTTCTTGGTTCTTTTTATTTTTGTTGTTGGTCCTGGGGCTTGAACTCTGGGCCTGGGCGCTGTCCCTCAGCTCTTCAGCTCAAGGCAAGCGCTCTACCACTTGAGCTACAGCGCCACTTTCGGTTTTCTGGTGGTTTATTGGAGATAGGAGTCTCACGGTCTTTCCTGCCCGGGCTGGCTTTGAACCGCGATCCTCAGATCTCAGCCTCCTGAGTAGCTAGGATTACAGGCGTGAGCCACCAGCGCCCGGCTCTTCTTGGTTCTTTGTATCTCCTTTGAAATACCCCACATGGACTTGATAACCATATTCATGCTAAGGTAAGTGAAGCCATTATGTGTCATTCCTTCCAACAGACCACATATTTTAACTGTATTTTTTTTGGTGTTTTCTGGGTACTGGGAATTGAACCCAAGACATTGTACTTACTAGGCAAGTACTTTGCCACCGAGCTACATCTCAGCCCAAGGTGACATATTTTAAAACAATAACTTGAAGAAGCTAAGCCAAAAGAATAAGTGGCAGAATTTCATTCATTAGAGAGAACCAACTTGGTGCAGAGATATCTTGGAACCACAGAGTTGACCTGCTCTGCTTTTCTAATGCTATATGTAAGTTTGGTATCAGAAAAATAGGTAGGTAGAGCTTGCTCAAAGTTCAGGGCTAAGAAGAATTTTGAAGTTTCCTCAGTGCTCAGAGTGCATGACGGTTGTATGATTAATTATCAGTGTCTGTCATGAAGAAGGAGGCAATTGATATGTTAAATATCTGCTGTCCCTGAGCTATACTTTCAGCTAGACTAGAAGGCACAGATTGGATCAGATCCTGATAACAAAAAGGAAGACAACCAATAGCTCCTAGCAAGAAATGTTTTCAAGAATTGCAGTTGTTTTTCTTCAAGAGAGCCAAAATGACATAAGATTATATTTACTCCATGGTCTGGGGAAGCAATTAGCCATATGAATACAGTAATCATATATTAAGTTGGTCTTACTTGTAATCCTGGGGGTCCCATGGATCCTGCACCTCCAGGAGATCCAGGTGGTCCTTGTGGGCCCTAGAGAGGCAAGTTTTTTTTTTTACCAAAGTCAAAATGCAAGACAACTTCTCAAGAAAAAACAATGTATGGCCATAGGAACTGTACAAAATATTCATAAAAACCTTATTCATAATAGAAAAAAAGTAGAGAGTTTCCAGGTATCCATCAAGACAAAAACTGATGCACTCAATAAGAAAATGAAACAATATTAAAAAATAGCAAATTATTGATAGATGACACAATGTGTGCAGCTCTCCAAAGCACTTAACAGATTGAGAAACACTAAAGACAAAAGGCTGAATATTATATTATTGTATGTGTATGAAGTTCTGGAATAAGCAAAATCTGACCTATGGTAGAGAAAAATTAGAATAGTGGCCTGGGGTAGAGGACAGGGATGGGCTGGTAAGGGACAGAAGGGAATTTTCTGAGGTGATGGTTATATTTTAGACTCCAATAGACAGTTGGGTTACGGAGGAATATTCATTTGTCAGAACTCTGCAAATGCACATTTAAGACTTAGGGATTTCATTGTAAATTTTATATATAAAGGGAAAATGAAGACAAATATTGAAGTTTAGCAATAGGAATGCTATAGTACTTAGGAGTAAGCCTGTAGTTTACTTTAAAATGCCTCAGAAATAGGATGAATCAAAGGATATACAGGATGCTTAGCTAGATAGGAGAGAGATAAAGTAAGTATAATGAAATATTAATGGGTGATCACTGCAAAATGTGTTCAACTTTGTTCTACATTTGAATATTCTCTAATAAAGTATTGTGGTAAATAACATAAAAAAGTTATTCAGCATCAGATAAAGTAGACTTCAAGCCATACATGATTACTGCAGATAAAGAGGGGATATTCCATAATGACAAATAGGTCAACTCATTGTTAATAACCTGTGGTCTCTCTATTGATCATAAATCTCTTGTTCAGTCACCACACATCCTCTCCTCAAATCTAAGCCTTTTCTATATTATTCCTGTGTAAAAAAAGAAAAAAAACTTTGTACCTTTGTGGCCAGGGAACGGTATCCCCAAGAGAAGCTATGTATCAAATATAGTGGGTGTTATTCTCCAATTTTAATGAACACATCTTTTAAGCCAGTTTTGTTTAGCTCTAGGGGACCTATATGTCCTGGGTCTTTAGTCATCTTTGTTTTTGTGTGGGCTTGCCTAAAGCCTCCTCCCACTATCAGCAAGTCTGAACACCATCCATACATCTCCAAGGCTTTCTCTTTCTTAGATGCAAGTCTTCCTCTTTCTCTAAGCTGCATTGGAATGCATAGACAAGTTCCTACCGTTGACTTTTTATGTCCCTTGGAGCAGGGATGAAATCAATTGCCTCAGGGATCACTTACCTGCTGATAGTAGGTGCACAGGATTTATTAAGGACTGAAAAAAGAAAGGAAAGCAAGGAAGGAACAAATATAGGAAAGAAGAAAGAAGAGGCAATGCTTAGGCTACTTCAGAAGCAATTGATAAGAATGTGAAATCTCAAGTAGTCCTTTCGTGAACTATTATCAAATAATCTCTAAAATTTCTATGTGGACACCCTTTAAAGAAGTATGTTCTACTTCTTGAACACACATAAAAACTTAGTAGATGATTGCTGAATGAAAGGCAAAATATCCTAATACTTTTTGGAGAATAGGTTTGCTTCTCATGTTTTCATGGAAACCACAGTTCAAAAAATACATGGAAAAAGTGTTGCATTGCTTATGTCAAGTAACCCTAACATAGTAGGGTCAAGTCTATGTCCCATTATTCATCTCACTTCATCTCATCACAGAGGCACTATATCATTTCATACCTTCCCAAGAAGTAGATGTAGTACAGTAAAGTCTTTTGAGAAAGGGAGGGGAGAGAGGAAGGAAGAGAACATATTCCCATCATTTTTGTTATAATGTATCATTATTCCTACTTAATTTTATTATTATAGTTGTTAATCTCTTATGTGCCTAATTTGTAAATTAAAATTTATCATAGGAATATACAAACAACAAAAAGCACAGTCTGTGTAGGGTTCTAAATTATTTGCAGTTTCAGGCATCCCCTGTGCATCTTTGAACACATTCTTCACTGATAAGTGGGATTACTGTACAAAGACCCCTGGCATAAAGCCTGAAAGCCAGCCTGTTATGCAACTTGAGGTGAACAGTTCATCTCATTTAGAAAATGTGAATACCATAAGCTATTCTACCTCAACTGTCTACATTTTCCTTCAGAAGGTCTAAGACCTTTGAATACCACACAAAATGAAAAAGCACCATCAGTGACTACTGACTAAATACTGAGAGCTCAACTTATAAACAACTTACAGAGATTCCATCCAGGCCAGGCAGCCCAGGATCTCCCTGTAAAACAGATAAAGACAGGATATTGAAGAGATTAATGAGTTAACATCACAGTATTTCACAGAAGTAACAAGATTCATGGGAAAAAAAATTACTGAAACTTGGGCTTCCTCCATCAAGGTCCTATGTGTCAAATAATGTATGAATTGGACATGCACAACAATTTAGTTTTTTCCCTATGGAAACTCTTGACTGTAGAATACAAAGATTGGCTGAACAGGTTTTCATAGTCTTCTTGGATTAATTAATTTTCACCTTTGCTAGGAACTTACCAATTAGAAACTGCTTCTGCAGGCTGGTGATTTGCCTGCTCCTTTTTTGGAGGAAAGCAAAGCTACCTTCCCATGTGCCTTCATCCCCAGAGAGTCTGTGCCCATATGTATACAATGCAAATCAGACATTTCAAAAGAAAACCAACAGAGCATACAGTCTCTGATTACGTTTTAATTACTTTGCAGCATCTTAAGTCACTGTATGAATCTGTAATATAACCATATTGTGGAATTTGCTATGTTCCACTGGAGCCAGAGTCTCTGGATTTTGGCAAAATCATTTGTTCAATGTCTGTTAAGGCAATGGCTGGATCTTGACACCTGCTAGTCTTGCTCTATTTGATCAGCTCTTTGTAACATGGGAAGAACACTGCCTGGGGGTTGGTTGGGCTGTGTGGCTGTGTAGCTGTGAACAAGACACTCAATATACCTGAGAATACTTTTTTTTTTTTGGGGTCCAGTTGTGGGGCCTGAACTCTGGGCCTGGGTGCTATCCCACAGCTCTTCAGCTCAAGGCTAGGGCTCTACCACTTGAGTCACAGCGCCACTTCTGGCTTTTTTCTTTTTGCTTATGTGGTGCTGAGGAATCAAACCCAGAGCATTATGCATGCAAGACAAGTGCTCTACCACTGAGCCACCTTCCAAGCCCCCTCAGAATACTTTTTTGTCCTTAACATGAGCAACATGCATCCAATCATCATGAGGTCATTCTCAATGCTAGTATTTCATCTTCTGCTATGGCACTCGTAGTTAAAACATCAAACCTTGTATGTTCTCTAGTTGTCTAGCTACTTTCTTCCATCACTGCCTTCAGAGCCATTTTCCAATATCCCTAGTTCTGTGCATTGTCAGAAGACAGAAAAGTTCCATAAACTACCTAACAAATCTTGGTTCATTTTCCTTTAGAAGTAGGGCATATAGAAAGATGGGGCTCATTTTCTAGTATGTAGATAAATAAGGTCAATCATTTGAGGTCAGGAGTTAATGGGCCCCACAAGAGTATAAAGCAATATGAACCTAGCATACAATCACAATAAAACAGAAAGTAAGAGATGGAAGTTTCAAGTTAGCTGTAGATTAAATGGACAAGGTTTTACAGATAGTCAGGGACCCAGGTAGAGTGATTGGTACTGGACAGAAGCAGAGAAGGGAGAGGCGAGGATCTTGGTGTGGAAGCTATACTAACATGGGCAGAGACATACCTGAATCCAAACCAAGGAATAGAGGTGTTAAGGATTCTAGAGAAAACAAAAATAATCTACCTCTAGGAAGTCTCTTGGCTTGGTAAAGAAAATGAAACCCATGCAAACTGCTTGTCTGTCTCTAACTTTTAGTCTAGATTTCATGAAGCAACTCTTCACAGTATAGTTGCAAACATTACTATCAAAGTTGCTACAACAGAAAAGCTCCAGATTCTTTTAAATTCAGTGTAGTCTGCTCCATAAGCAGATGCTAGCTCTGTAAATGTTTTTTTTTTCTGGGACACAATCCTGGGAAGCCTAACTTACAGCCAATTTTGCCTGCCTTACTTACCTCCATTCCAACGAAACTGCCTTGAGGGGGGGCAGGTTCACCCTTTGAACCTTTACGACCAGGAAGTCCCTGAGTAAAGTAAGAGAAACAGGAATAAATTCACATGTGCACAGTTTTGTTAACAATATGATCTGATAAGATGGAACAACAAGAATTTGAAATTATGTGACTTAGTCTGTGGCAGAATTGGTTAAAGGGCAAAGTCTGTCCCCTGAACAAGTGTTGCGTCTCAAATCTGAGTCCTATTCTCCTACCTCAAAGACACAGACAGGTCTGTAATGGTTGGAGCTAAGATAGCAGGGGACCTTATATCTATTCAGAGCCCTTCTTGAACAAACATAAGCTTACAGTTCACTATTCTTCACCTCACAGGTATAAGCCATTGACAGAGACTTTGTCAAGATCAAAGATCAACAATTTTTTTCTTTGAAGAACTAGAGATGAAATAACTTATTAGCTTTATGGATTGTATATGGAATATTGGATATCTTATTTTAACATATTTTTAAAATGTAAAAATAGGCCATATGCTAAGTTTTGGGGACTGAATTATATTGAATGATGGATTATACTGAATGATGCAAGTATAACAATACAACAAAACAACCTCAGAAGCACAAACCAATTTTTATTATAACAGCCTATTTCCCCTTCATCTTCTGGTCACTCTTCTTTTTTAAAGAAGCTTCAAAGGAGTTAATTGAATGGATATTGATAAGGGTAGTTTAGTGAAATACATGCCTCCATTCCTATGGGAGTTTAGGGTCAGGATGAGGTTCCTACCTTTGTTTTTTGTCAGTCAGGGGATGTTCCTTAACACCTCTACTTTCGTGCTTGACACCAGAATTACATGGTTTTTCTAGAGCCCTACTTCTAACAGAGAAGTATTATGTTCCCTTCCTCTATTGCCATGGCAACAGGAGGTCTTTATGACTCAAGCAGATTTTTTCCACATTAGGTATATACCTTTTTCTACAACCCTCCTTTGTTGTATATTTGTTTGGTCCTTAGGTATCAAGGTCCTTTATGCCAATCTGGGGCTTGTGCTTTGTCTATTTGTCTATGTGTGTCATTTTTTCACACACCCATATCTACAACTTGGTTACTAAATGCCAGGATGCTGCTATTCCAGTGAAATGCAAAGTAATTCATGTAGCTGCGCAATATGTCTAATTGGTGGCTTGATTTCTAGGTAAAAATCTCACATTGGAATACTAAATAATTTAGATTATTTCGACTGAGGCTAAGAATGGGCTTGAAATGTTTTGTTCTTGTAAGTCTTTCAGCCATTTCTAAAATCAATTTTTTTTTTGGGGTCTGGTTGTGGGGCCTGAACTCTGGGCCTGGGCGCTGTCCCTTAGCAATTCAGCTCAAGGTTAGCACTCTGCCACTTGAGCCACAGCGCCACTTCCGGCTTTTTTTTCTTTTTCCTTATGTGGTGCTGAAGAATCGAACCCAGGGCCTCATGCATGCAAGGCAAGTGCTCTACCACTGAGCCACCTTCCCAGCCCCGTCTAAAATCAATTTTATAAGGGCCTGATATCCACTAGAGACCCTTTAGAGCCAACAATCTGAACCTTATCTGGATAAATAGAACTAAAGTGGTGACATTGTGGTCAAGTCAATAAATACCTTCTCAACCCTTTAACAAAGGGTCACTATGTGGCATTGGGGAGGGCAATACTGTGAATATAGTCTTCCTTCCTTCCTTCCCTCGTTTCTCTCTCTCTCTCTCTCTTTCCTTCCTTTCCTTTTCTTTTTTTCTTTCTTTTGTTTTGCTGTTCTGGGACTTGAACACAAGGCCTGGGTGCTGTCTCTGAGCCTCTTTGTGCTCAAGGGTAGTGCTTTACCACTTGAGCCACAGTGCCACTTTGGCTTTGCCATTCTGGTACTGTCAGCATAGATTCCTACCTTTGGACAAGGGACCACAGTGGCTCCACCACAGAAGTTTAGTGAGCTTTCCATAAAAACAGAAAAAAGACACATTTGGAAGTAAACAGTGCCATTTGAATTAAAGTGCAAGGATCTGGCAACATACGGGTGGTCCTAGAATCCCATGATACCCATCATGGCCTGGAAATCCAACAGCTCCTTGAGTTCCATTACAGCCATCTAAACCAGGTGGACCTCTGGGGCCTGGCTGCCCAGGGTGGCCCTATTAAAAGAGAAAAGGATCAAGTAAGCCACAGAACTGTCAGTTAATCTGAAAATCTCAACAATGAGAAAAGCCAAACTTGTTGCTAAACTCTGGTTTCTTGTCCACTTCTATTTTTCTGTGCCAGTACTGGAGCTTGAACTCAAGACCAAGGTATTGGCCCTTAGCTTTTTTACTCAAGCCTGGTATTCTACCACTTGAGTCACAGTAACACTTTGGGTTTTCTGAATAGTCTATTGGAGGTAAGAGTCTCATCGACTTTCCTGCCCAGGCTGGTGTTGAATCACGACCCTCAGATATTTCAGTCTCTTGAGTAGCTAGCAGTAAGCATTTTTATGTAGCTCATCTGAATTAAAGAATTTCCTAAAATTGGACTTTTTCGTACATATACTCCTCTTTTAAAAAAGAATACCCCCCACATATGTACCAAAAGCCAGTTATGTGTTTGGCATGGAGCAAAAATATGGCCTGAAAGGCCAGAAATCTTGATAGGTCAATGAAAAATAGATTCCTAATTACTCTAAATACTTTTTAAGGCTTAGTATATTGTTAATGCTTTGAGGGAATATGTCACGTTCAGTGAAAATTTCAAATTACTGATATTTCTTCCTTACCAATGGAAATAAACAATTAATGAGTTTGGAATTGCTCATTCTTTTGAGTACCACAATTAAATCAAATGCTATCCCACTCCATCCTACTTTTTTTTTTTATTGTGGAAATACTGTACAGAGGGGTTACAATTACATGGGCAAGATAATGAGTACATTTCTTATCAAGCATTGTTGCCTCCTCCTTTGTGTTCCCCTTCCCATCTTTTCCCAGCCTCCCCCCACCTCCCACCTAATCTTCCTCCCTCCACCCCCCACCTAATCTTCCTCCCCCCACCAAAGTTGTAAAGTTCGTTTTCGACATGACAACGTGTACTTCTCCTTGCAACGGGTCCACCTGTATTCCATCCTACTTAGAATGTAAATTATTCCTTTGTCCAGCATATTCACTCTTCCTGCTTAGTCACTTAGTCATTTTGGTTAGTAAATCATTTTTCTAAATGGTATCATAGTGCTTGTGCTAAAGATATATGCATATATATGTATAAATATATATGTATATATATGGGCATATATATTATATACAGAGAGAGAGAGGAGGGGGAAAGAGAAGAGAGAGAGAGAGAGAGATACAAGTCTCATGTTGGCCTTGAACTCACAATCATCCAGCTTCAACCTCCTAAGTAGTAGGAATTATAGGTATGTACTACCAAGCTCAAACTCAAGTAATCTTTATTTTACTTAATACTGGCTCCAAATAATAAGAGTGATGATACTAGTTCAGATATGACAAAGAAAGGCTGTAAAATGGTTCCTTTAAATGAAAAGGTGAAAATTGTTGACAACATAGAAAGAAAAAAAATCATATGCTAATTGTGAAGCAAGACAAAGAAATCTGTGCTACTTTTATATCCCACCCTGAGCTGAAGAAGTTATGACCACATTGTGTGTTAAGTAATTAGTTATGATGGAAAAGGTATAATAAGTGCTATACCTTTCAATCATCTAATTGGAGGTCTTGGAATGTATCTACCATGTATAGTTGCATGAAGTAGAATGACTATTAACACAAAAGTGTTAGTCTAGACTATTAGGCTTATGAAATGTTCAGTATAGAGGAGGTGCCTAGATTTTGTAAGAAATTTGATGTAACCTAGCCTCTACAGACTGACATAATGAGCAGCATGTGTGTGCTGCTCCTGGGACTTGAACTCAGGGCCTGGACTCTGTTCCTGACTTTTATTTGCTCAAGGCTAGTGTTTTACCACTTGAGCCACAGCTCTACTTCTGCCTTTTTGTGTGAGAGAAAAGTCTCATGGGCTTTCCTACCTGGTCTGAGTTCAAACTGTGATTCTCAGATCTCAGCCTCTGGAGTAGATAGGATGACAGATGTGAGCTACCAGTGCCCAGACCAGATGATGATTTTTAATTGTTCTAGGGAAAACAAACTGTTTAACAAGAGAGTCTTTGATTCTTTATTACCAAGGGGGTGATCATTATTGCTTGTCCACAAAGTCTCTGGACCTGTGCCTTTGGTGGCTGATGGCTATAGAATGTACTCCACGGGCTCCTTTCTCTCTATCTCCCAGTTGAATTGTCCATTGGGAGATACAGATTGGGATGGAGAAAGAGCACAGGTTATTTATTACCCTCCATGCCCTCCCTCTGTGGCTGCATTTCTGACAAAGTCATAGTTCTCTAGAGCCTTAGCTTTTGTTGGGCAACAGATATCCCATGGCTCCAGGTTTCATTGGGTTCCAGTACAATGATTACAGTTTTCCTTCTTTTTGCCTACAGATGTTAACAGATGAAGTTACTTCATCATCTGCATTGTTATTTCCCTTCATCCTGCACATCCTTTAGATAGTCTCTTTATTCAACTCTACTCATTTAAACCCTTTGGCTGTAGAGCCTGACTTCCTAGGGGTTATCTCTCAGCTGGTAGTGGGGATAAGTTAAGACAACAGGCTGACTCACTACCAGGCGCCTTCCTTCCTCTTGGGGACCTTGGTTCTGCTTGACACCAAAGTCTTTGTCTGAACTCTGACCCTTTTGTATCCACATGTTTTACTTGGGCTCAATCCTCTAATTTGCTCTTCTAAACTCCTGGTATCTTCTACCAGCAGGAATCTGGGGATATCTGTTTACTTGTTCCTACCTTAATGGCATTCTTTGGAATTAAACTTTGAGGTATGACTCAGACCTGTCCTTTCTTTGTCATCTAGCTAATACTATGGGGTAGTAGCTAATGCATGTTTAGAGCAGTCAGATTTGTGCTCTAACCCTGATTTTGTCACTTCTCAGCTAGAACTTCAGTTCCCTTATCTGTAAAGTGGAGATGAATAATACCTTCCTTATATTATAATACTAGAGTGTTAATGCTATTTACATTAATAATGAAGAACTAAGTACTGCATTGGGTTATAGTCAACATCGTTAATAGACTTACTAAGAGTTAAATAAATGCTAAGTCTTTTCCCAGGTAAGTCAGCAAGAATAAGCCACCATAGAATTTCTAGTATTTGTCCCTTCCTAGTTATAACTAATAAGTTTACATATGTATATAACAAATTTCCAAGAGAGTTTAGATCTTTGAGGGAAGAAACCATGGTTTTATATAGCCATAGGGAATGAACACATAGGCTACTGAGGGTCTGCTATATTCCAGAAGGGCTGTGTTCCTAGAACACAGTTCCAAAGAAAAGTTTCCAATTAGAGAGTAGTATGTGTCCACTTTGAAGATATAAATTTAGTATGCTTATTTACAAAGCTCTACTCAGGACATATTTGAGATTGGCTCTCTGGGAAAAGCTAAACAATTGCAAAGGACAACTTGAAAACCTCTGTCTGTTCCCAACGTATTTGAAGTAAAAAAAATGATAAACATGCATTTCTTATGGATGCCAACAGCCCCAACTCACATCTGGAATACGAATAAAAGCCTCCACACAGTACTTTTATGCCTAGTCTATGTAGCTATATATTTACTATATTAACCAATAACCTTATTTGTTCATTCTCCCTACTTGTTGCCGGGCCCCTTGGTGCAAAGAGTTTGATTATCATTAACTGACCATTTGTTTCCTTGTGTTAAAATTATCTACATGACAGCAAAAACATGGTTTTGGGATCCAAACCAGTGCCACATATGTTAATGATCAGCTAATATTAAGAGGAGAGTCATATCTTAGTGGTGATCTAGTTCAGAGAAAATATGTCGGAGAAGCTGTTGGTTTCAGCCAAAGTGCTTTGTGTTTGTTGTTGAAAGTTGAACATAATGAGTAGTCTGACAGAGTCTATGATGTCTGTGTTTTCCTCTGTCTGAGGGAGTCCTGTCAATCTCAGAACTTTGGATTTTATGACTTTAGAGGTGGTGGGACTAAGACCCTCATTTAGTTTTAGATTTCCTACTACATGTTGAATTATATCAGGGGCCTTTGTGGCCTTTGTGAGGCGCAAAAGACATATAATCTGTGCTTCTAAGCAGTGGGATGAAGTTCATATAATACAGATGGTTATAGGTAATTAGGAGTTAAAGTATGTGACATAGATGTTGGGGACTCCTGTGATCTTTGAGATGGAAGGAAAAGGTAAGCACCAAACACAAGGTGATCAAAATATATTTGTTAAATAGCTGGAAGCAAGAGAAAGATTAAAGGAGAAGGGTTTCACTGAATAATGAGGCTTAGTGTTTGAAGCTAGAGCAACCAAAAGTTAAAAACAAAAACAAACAAACAAAATACCCTGAACTCCAATAATCACAAAACAACTCTTGGCCAAGCGAAGGGCCAGGAAGGAGGGATGTTTATTTGGGAGCAAGGAGCTTATGTGGAGGATTGTGGACAGCTGCAACTCTTTCTCCTAAACAATGAAGCGCTAGAGACAAATGATCAATTTCAATTCATGCTATCCTACGGTTCTCTTGGCTCTCTTGAACATAAGTTGGAGGCAGAAGTGTCCAGCTGGACTTGAGGACAGTTTCCAGCTCAAAATTGGAAACATCTCAGGCCTCATTGGATTCATCTGCTTCCAGTTTCCATCAGACATCATAGGCATAGTAACATTGCAAGTTCAGAAGCCTTCCACATTTCTGGCCATGCCAGAACCAGAGGAGAAATGGCAACAGTTGCCTCTAGTTTGCTGGTTTCCTTTTCCCTCAGCTCCCAAAGATGTACGCTCTTGGAGTCTGTGGGTAAAGTAGTCATATAAACACAGTCATAAGAAAATTACAGTTATGCCATAAAAACATGGTCATTCCTATTTACTGTGTTTTCCCACTGGCCTATTTCTGGGTATTTTTCAGATATTGCAACTGAATAAAATACAGGAATCCGACAGCTGACTGGATGCATGTAACAAATACAAGTTAAATGTGCTGCCTAGTCTCTGAAAGAAAATGGATCAGGGGCTGGGAATGTGGTTTAGTGGTAGAGTGCTTGCCTAGCATGCATGAAGCTCTGGGTTCGATTCCTCAGTACCATATATACAGAAAAAGCCAGAAGTGACGCTGTGACTCAAGTGGTAGAGTGCTAGCCTTGAGCAAAAGAAGCTTAGGGAAAGTGCCCAGTCCCTGAGGTCAAGCCCCAGGATTGGCAAAAAGAAAAAAAAAAAGAAAAAAAAAAGAAAATGGATCATCTATTAATAGAGCACGGCTGCATGTTTCTTCAATATCCTCATAGTAAAGTGTTAGTCTGTAGCATGTGCTCAAGAAATCTACCTAAATATTGGCACAGTGATTTGAAACCTTCCCCTAGTATTAGCCTAGATGATTATGTAGTATAAGACAAAAGATCTTGGGCGTGGGGCTTCTCAAACCACAGTTTAATAAGGGTCTGTAGAATCCCTTAGAAGCATAAATGTAGCCTCTAGAAACTGCCTTATGTGGAGGAGATCTTCCCCACAAGATTCTGGCCTTCTCTTAAATAAGATAGAAATACATAGACAAACAAATATACAGAGAAGTGGCAAATGACAAGTCCAAGAACTGATAAGGTTCTAAGTATTATCTTTTCAAAGGCTGGTGAAATGTACCAATAGATTCTGCATTGTTAAGTGAAGATGTAGGATGAAAATGGAGACATGAAGGGATTAGCCTGAATAGAATGGGAAAAAGAGATGTCAGGAAGCTCCAAATTCCCTACTTATCTCCACCAAAACAGGGCTACAGGATGAGTGAAAAAGGCCACATCTGAGCAATCTTTGGTAGTTGCTTTGTAAAGCTAAGAGGAATTCACTCTGAAATGAATAAGGCTGAAAAGAGCAAATTACTGAAAACAAATGTGTCAAGATATCATCAAAGGTTTGTTTTCCTATCAAATATCGTGTCTTCATATATACATATATATACATATATACATATATGTACACATAATTCCTATAGTCAATATGCCTGTGCTCCAACATGGTTATGTCTATTTACCTTCAAGCCAATTGTTCATCTCTAATCAAAGCTCCCTTCAACCCATAAGACCTAACTCAGGCTAAGGTATTAATGGTTTCTTATGAATGTATATGGCACTGCAGCCTTAACCACGGCATAGGCCTCAATCCAAGTCTAATTATGCATAACCACATCCCTTAAGTCTACCCACACCACATTTCAATACTTGACCCCGAGCCTGCTTTCATGATACAGGCTAGAGCCAAAGTGCCTAAGATATAAGACAGAAACTAGAGGGTGATTTTAAAATGGATCTGTGAACGCACTCACTGGAATCCCATTGATGCCAAGAAAGCCAGGAACTCCCATAGGACCCTAGAAAATGGGGTAGGAAGAGAGACATAAGAGATAATCCAGGTGATGTTTGTTAGAGTCAGTATGCTTGTTTACTGTACAGTGATAGAAGTTGCTTAGAAATTCTTCATATCTCGCTTATCAAGATGTTTTTTGGTTGGTCATGGGGCTTGAACTCTGGGCTTGGCCGTTGTCCCTGGGCTCTTCAGCTCAAGGTGAGCACTCTACCACTTGAGCCACAGCGCCACTTCCAACTCTTCATATCTCTATCCCCACACTATTTTGACCTGCTCCTTACTCTAGCTCTAAGTGATCACTTGCTTCTCCCTAATTTTTAGACATGTCTGTATTTGACAGTGTATTATTATGTTAGGCATTGTAAATCTTAAAATTAAAGCTCAGTACCACATACTACATTGACATCTAGACAAAATTCAGACGGCTTTGAATGGTCTAACCAAGACTTCCCTACATAGGCTGCTCTGTCGATTCAAGTGCCTTAGCCAAGTAACCCTCCTAACACAGCAACCCAGGAGGAGTTCCTGCTTGTCCTTGATTAGCAGGTTTAGTTCCCTGCCAGTGAATTACTCAAACAAGCCAAATCACATCCTCCTTCAGGCACCAGGGACACCACAGCCTCTTGCTATTTTAAAGCTTGCCTCCCACAGCCTCTTGGTCCACTTGTTTGTCAGTACAACCCCTACATGGCCTTACATGGTGTGTAGTGTCCTCCCCTGAAATGTGACATATGTGTGACTAATAACCTGCTATTAACTTCATCAGCCCAGTATACCTTCAGTTATCTTTGTAATTCGAAGGTGGGACTCTTGCTTTCATCAATGGGGAACAGGAAGTGATTAAAATAGGCAGGGAACTGAGCTGTGAAACACGTCACCCATGATATTACTCCCCTTTCTTGTAGCCAGTTCTCTGTACTTGTGACCCAGATTGCTTCCAAGTTTCCTGGATTCTTGGTCATTGGACTTCTGACTCATGCCCTGCTCAAACCCTCATAGTTTCCCATGAGTGATTTCACTCATCTAGCAAGTAGCTAACATATTCACTTTATATATATATTCACTTGGTACAAGTCTTGAGAGATGAGACTCCAGAGAGGATCCATCAGCAGCAAATCATTCATTCCATCTCAAAGTATGCAGCCCTTTACCAGCATGTTCAGAAACTATTATTTTCAAAATAAGTAGGACCAAGACTGACAACTTTTGGCTTTTGTATTTTGGTATATCTTACCTTATCTCCTTTTGGACCATATGGTCCCAGACGGCCTGGGGAGCCCCTTTCTCCTTTCAATCCTGATAACCCAGGAGGACCCACAAATCCTTGAGGTCCTGTTGGGCCTTGAATTCCCATTACTCCATGTTGTCCCTAAGATAGAAAGAAAAAGTGCAATTAGTCAATAGGGAATTTAACATCAGCATTTCATATTTTTCATGCACAGAGAACAGCCACAACTTTCCTAAATAATTTTGGCTTAGAGATCTGTGGGATATGACAAAGTTTGACACCTGGATCAGAGAAGGCTATTTTAGAGGCTGCTATAGAAGCACATTTCAAAAGATTCATGTGCACCATGCTTCTTCAACTTTGTACTTCTTAAGACATTAGCTAGTCAGGCTGGATAATATTGTCCTCTTCCTAGTTAGTGCCAGGCTATCCATCAGGTTGTCAAAATAGTGAAAGAACAGAATACTGGAGAACTCCAAGGCATTTCATAACTTTCATCCAAATAGCCAACCACATGCTTGCAGTAAAGTTCAGACAAAGGATGTGCCTAAAGAATACTGCCCCAGGGGGTCAGAGAGGGCAGAATCTAGAAACACATGAGCTGACCAACCTATTGGAATTCATCTCTGTTGGCTGATCCCAGACTGGCAACAGATGCTCACAAAGGAAATACACACACACACACACACACATACACACACACACACACACACACACACACACATACACACACACACCACTATTTACTTATTCTTCTTTCTGATCCCCCTTTCCTTTTCCTTCCTTCTTCCCTATTGGTACAAAGTTGGAATGTGGAAGATACAAGCCTGAGAAGTATCAATTATGATAGCAAGAGGGAACAGCCTGAGAATTTTGAATATCCTGGTTATAAAATGTCTGTAACAATTAAGTCTGAAAGTTCAGTCTGACATTTTAAAGCAGACTGAGACTGAGAATTAACCCCAGTGGGTGCAACACAGACAGGCTGGACTATCATTTAGAACAAATCCCAGTAGGGACTGAGTTTTTTGGCAGAAAATGAAAGCCATTAGTAATGTGCATTACCTCTCTGTGAACACACCGTATCAGGTAGAAAGCCTATTTTCATAAATACTTCCTATCCCCATATCTCAGCCCCTTTACCGTCTGTAATTCCCTACAAATCTGTAAAAACTCTGAGAAAAGCCCATTAAACATGGCCTTTTCTATTCACCATGAAGTTTTATTTTGTAAAAGGCTGAAAGAGGACAGATGCCTTGTGCAGTGGCTACACTCACATCCTAGAGAAGCAAGTGGCTACCAGCTGTGCCACCCTTTGGAATATAATTTCCTGTGTCAATCAGACCCAGGGATACCTAGGACTCTTGCAAAGAAGTAACAGACAGACACTTTGTGGAGGTAGATGAAATTTTTTAGCATAGTGTCTACCATTCAAACTTTCCCAACACCACCATGCAGATTCTAGACTTTTAACCAGTTGACTCCTGGTAAAGTTGAGGATGAAAGGTGAGCATTTTGTTTTCAAGTTCCTACCTCCTAATCTTGGATTTTTCTTATAATAATTAAAATTTTAATTTTCACAAAATCAGTGTGTGTGTGTGTGTGTGTGTGTGTGTGTGTGTGTGTGTGTAACTAAGGAGAAAAAGCAATATTTTTTTTATTGTTGGAGTATTATGAGGATGAATGAGGAAGTTAAAAATGTGGTTCTACATCTCAAGACAAATAGAGCCCAAACCATAGCAAACATACAAGACTGGGACTAAGCCTAAGCATGTGAGCCCACAGAGGAAAGGTAGGCCATGAAGAGTTGCATAATGGTGACACTTGATCTGTGATTGGGGGAGTCATGGTCACTTGCGAAGGTGAAGCAGGCCAGAGCTGAGGAGGGTCTTGAAAGCCAGGAAGGCAAGGTTAAACCCGGAGAAATGGCTGGGAGGAAAGTAGTGTTAAAGGCTGCAATCTTCAAGGAGCACATAGGAGAATGTGTGTGTGTGTGTGTATGTGTGTGTGTGTGTGTGTGTGTGTGTGTGAGAGAGAGAGAGAGAGAGAGAGAGAGAGAGAGAGAGAGAGAGAGAGTAGGAGGCCAGGGAAGTCTGCCTGAGGCTAGAACAAGGGAGGCAGATACGAACCAGCTGTTGGAGAAGAGTGCTTGCTGAGAGGACATGGGCAGGAGGGGCTTGCCAAGGCCATGTTATTACCAGTAGAGATGATCCAGTCAGGGAACCAAATGTTTGACCCAAATCTGAGCCTTGCCAAAAATCTTGCATCAAAGGAGGGGAAGGGAAAACCAGATGAACCACTGAACAAGATAGTAGATTGAGGTGTGGTCTAATTCCCATCTTACTCATACTACTCCAGGGCCTTGAGCAGTGTCCAATGGTGGATAAATGGCCTGTCACCATCCACATCCCTCTTGCCTTGGTGAACACAAGCTCAGCCCTAAGTTAGAACAAGTAGACAAGCATGAACTTAAGGGAACTCTGAGTTCATTTAGCACATGCGGGTCTCTGTGGCCTATTTCTTTTCCCTTGGCTGATCAAGCTGATTTTGCAGACTTCTCTGTTCCAGCCAAAATGCTGATATCAGTAAGTCTCCTAAGGAACTCATGAGTTCGTTTGTAAATTCCAACTCTTTCCCAAAGGGGTATTGGGAAAGACATCTCTAAGACAAATGTGGACTGTTAGGCTGGTTTTATGTGTTTAGGGTGGTAAGCATGCCACCAGGCTAGGGCAAAACTTCAGACTGACTTCAGGGTAGAAACAGGGCCTGTGGAATGGCTTGAGGCTTCTGAGGCTGTACTGGTATAGAATGGCCTCCTTTGCATGGTGCTAGGCTTTCCTGGTACCTGTATTCATAGCACATGTGACAAGGAGCCCTCCCTTCTCTGAAGGCACGGAGTGCCACGAATAAATGAAGGTGGCAAGTAAAAAAAAATGAGGCCATCTCTAGATACCTAACTCTGTGCTAATAGCTCTCTAGTTTGGTTTTCTCATCTTCTATGCACAAGGTTTCTTTCTTAATATCCACTGTACTGCTGAAATTTAATTCTAAATCAGTGGTGCACTGCTACACACACACACACACACACACACACACACACACACACACACACACACACACACACACACACACACACACACACACACACACACACACACACACACACACACACACACACACACACACACACACACACACACACACACACAGAGTAACACTTTTCATAATGGCCAGCAGAGGTCAGTATGAGAACACAGAGGCTACAGATAAGCAGGTGTGTAGGTTTCCCACTACCGAGAAAAAGAAATCAAACCACCATCAAAGAAGTCACAGAATGTTTGAGCAGGAAAGACCCTCAGGATTTATTTGGTTCAGCATTTATTTTATACATGAGAAGAAAAGGCTGAGGGAAGAGGAAGGACTTGTTTAGGTTACATAGTTATAGAAATGATATGGGGCTAAAACCAGATCCCCTGCTGCTAGTGCCTTGTTTTCCAGTGGCAGATGTCCTAGGGGGTCCTTGCGGTTGTTCCCCCCTCACCCTGGGTCCACCCCTGGGACTGTCTTCATCAGTATGCTACAGCATCCAGATGCTCACTAATCATTTCTCTCTTCCTAACCCTGATCATTTCACAGAACCAATCTGAAACACCATCACTGTTTGGACTGCTAGCAGAATTTCAATAGGCTTGGACCAGTGCCCTGCCCTGATACATGTCATTTATTTTGGCAAATATACCCAGACAGGGCAGAAGGGACTTCTCCAAGTCTTTCCAGCAAGCTCTTCTGATTCCATCTGCTCAGGATTTTTAATGCACAAAGGCAGGGTCTAATTCTCAAGGGAATAGATTGGGATTTATGTTTAAGGCCAGAGACTATAGGACCCTCAACTCCAGTTCATGTTGGCTACCTTGGGTCACCATTGATCAGACCCAAACAACTGAGGTAACAGATCCAGAAATGGGACTATTGGCAAAGTAGTAGATATGTGTAAAATTAGCACCTAGGAATGTGTGTGTGTGTGTGTGTGCGTGTGTGTGTGTGTGTGTGTGTGTGTGTTCTGGAGCTTGAATTCAGGGCCTGGGCACTGTCCCTGAAATATTTTGCTCAAGGCTAGTGCTATACCACTTGAGCCATAGATCCACTACCAACTTTTTGTGATTAATTAGAAATAAGAATCTGGGCTGGGAAGGTGGCTCAGAGCTAGAGTGCTTGCCTTGCATGCATGAGGCCCTGGGTTTGATTCCTCAGCACCACATAAGCAGAAAAAGCCGAAAATGGTGTTGTGGCTCAAGTGCTACAGCACTAGCCTTGATCTGAAGAGCTGAGGGACAGCACCCAGGCCCAGAGTTCAAGCCCCACAACCAACCAAAAAAAAAAAAAAAAAGAAAGAAAAGAATGACACAGATTTTCCTGGCTAGGCTGGCTTTGAACCATGATCCGCAGATCCTCCTGAGTAGCTAGGATTACAGGCATGAACCACTGGAGCCCACCTATGAATCTTAAAAGTACATACCTCAGACTAGGAGAGGGTGTGAAGTTGATAGTCTCTTTCAGTCTTTTACCCTTCTCTCAAGATTCCAGCATTTTTCTCCCATGAAATTAAAAATTGGTTCCTAAAAATCTGAAACTCATTTTTACTCAGACATAAATGACTGACATCCTTGAGGTTTATATTTTTCCAGAGGTGGGCTGAAGTTTAATGGAGAGCAAAGCATTAAGCTATGAATGTAAACCATTTTTATAAAGCAGGAAAGGAATGAAGTATGCACAGGCCTTCCTAAGGATCTAGCTGCATTCCAGGAGGTGGGAAGGTGTAGTGCTGTTATGTAGAACTGGAGTCAGATCTCCTTATTGTCACTTTAGCTATTATCTTTGGGCAAGAAAGAACTATTCTGAGATTCAAGGGCTTAAATACAATAACAGGTCTTGTGCAGACTCACTGTGAGCATTTAAGTGAGTTAATGACTATAAAACATCTGGCACATAGAACAAAATATCACTTTTCTTTCCCCCTCAGGTATTATTTGTGGTAAAATGGAGCAGTTGGGATGGGGTACTTGATGCCCCTTTATGTTTAGGTGAGAGATGCAAAGTCATCACTGAGTCACCATCTTTGGGGTAAAGATGTGTTC